ACATGAGACAAAGTATATGTGAACTGCTGTATGAAAAGTGAATTTACTCTGTAAATCTTCACCCAAATCCTAATAAAAAAAAAAAAAGACAGGGGAAAAAAAAAAAAAAAGAATTAGTTGCTGTGGAGTTGACACTGACTCACGGCGACTCTACTGGTCAGAGTAGAACTGTGCTCCATTGGGTTTTCAGTGGCTGATTATTTTGGAAGTAGATCACCAGGCCTTTCTTCCAAGATGCCCCTGGTAGACTCGAACCTCCAACCTTTCAGTTAGCAGCTGAGCACATTAACTATTTATACCACCCAGGGACTCCCTGCTGTACATAAGCTTAGGTAAATTAAAGATGAGTGTTGTTCATACATTTCAAAAATTAAAGATGAGAAGTAAACCTGAAGTTGAAAGTGAAGAACATCTATACTTTGGGAATTGTCACTGCTGAGGGAAACAAAGAGGCTGCTTCTGGGATAAAGCTGACGGTCACCAAGCAAAGTCTATAGACCTGCTGCTCCCCATCCTCACGGATGGATGTTTGCTTTGCCACTACTCTAGTGCAGTGGCTTAAGGGTTTGCTCTGTTTTCTGGAAACAAAATGTTCTCTTGTACTCTGCCCCACCCCCTCAGGACTTACATTGGAGGATTGATAAGACCCGTTTAAGCCCACCTTTGGAGGACAGCCGCTTCCACTATGGTTTCAACTCCAACTATCTGAAGAAAATCATCTCCTACTGGAGGAATGAATTTGACTGGAGGAAGCAGGTGGAGATTCTCAACAAATACCCTCACTTCAAGACTAAGATTGAAGGTATGCTTCCAAATCCTCAACTGGAGTATGGGGTATGTGTCATGGGAACAGCCTTCTTGCATTATGTGACTTAGAGTCAGACAAATCTGGGGAGACCCAAAATCCAATTAAATGGTTATTGGAATATATAAAAATTATAGCCCTACGCAAATACAAAAAGAATGCAAAATCCCAACAAAGCCAGTGGTCCTTAGAGGTAGACAGTAAAACACAGTTTAAAAAAAAATTTGCAGAATGCAGTTCAGTGATCTAACTCTCTTAAGTAGGCATGTCTATGATATTGTGACTGGTTGAAGGTGCTCAGCCTGTTGGTCAGGGCCCTAAAGAAAATGGCCCTATCTGTCTACAGCTCTTGACCTCATGTCCAGACTGTCACTCAACCTCACTTGGCCAAGAAGGTATCTCTCAAAATTTGCTTGGGAAGGTAATACCAGTTTCATTTGGGATGAAGTAATAGCTTCCTTAGTGGAAAAGTCTCTTTTAACCCTGGAAAGATTTAGAATCAAACATGGAAATAAAAGAAAATGAAACCTACACTGGGACTTTTTTATGTTGAAATTGTGCCTATTTGGAATCTTGAATATTTGTAATACTTAAAAGAATGTGGCCTTTTTGAGTAATGGATTAGACTTTTAGTTGTAACTTAAAATAAGTGAGTAATAGATTTAGACTTGTGATTTTATATGTAAATCTTACGGAGTTTATATGCATTTTGGTATATTTAAGCTTCACTATATTATACATTAGACGGCTAGCGGTTCAAACCCACCAGCCACTCCTCGGAAGGAAGGTTGGGCAATCCTACTTCCGTAGTGATACTGCCAGAAACCCAAGGAGGGGTCGCTATGAGTCGGGGCCGACTCGACGGCACATAACAACAACAACAACATATTATACATTGGGAGCTCTGATAGCGTAGTGCCTAAGGCACTTGACTGCTAATCAGAAGGCTGGTGGTTCAAACCTGCCAGCCACTCCTCGGAAGGAAGATGGGGCAATCTACTTCTGTAGTGATACTGCCTCCGAAACCCAAGGAGGGGTCACTATGAGTTGTATCCAACTCGATGGCACATAACAACAACAACAACATATTATACATTAGGAGCTCTGGTGGCATAGTGCCTAAGGCATTTGACTGCTCACCAGAAGGCTGGCGGTTCAAACCCACCAGCCACTCCTAGGAAGGAAGGTTGGGCAATCTACTTCTGTAGTGATGCCACCTCGGAAACCCAAGGAGGGCTCGATATGAGTTGGGACTGACTCGATGGCAGTGAGTTTGGTTTGGTTATATTATACATTTTTCAGAATTCTAGGAATTACTTAAATGTATATGAAAGGCTTATTGTTCAATCAGGTCAACTAAAATTCTTAAAAAAGGAAATTGAAATAATAAATGCAGTTCCCAGTGTTTAAAGGAGTGTCATCAAGCAAGTTTATAAGTATAACCATCATTAATCAAAGATCCCTGGAGAATGACTTTCAACATTTGATAGTTATAAATACATACAATAAGATTTGTAAGCTGCATTCATGGAGCAGAACTAGGTCTTTTCATCCATAGCTTTACTAAATTGAATATTAACTTTTAAAACCAAAGTAATTGTTGAGTATTCTTTTTTCATATAAAGACCATCCTCAAGGTCACCCAAAACCTCCAGTGGACAATGTAGCAGGTGGGGCTTGCAGCCAGCCAGGAGGTTGAGTTGCTGCCTCACATGTGAATGGTGGGAACTTGGCTATGACCAAGCCTCCCTTCCTTGCTTTCTCCTCTAGCCTTTGTTGCGTGATGGGCAAATGGCTACGTCAGGTGGTGGTCAGGAGGAGGACAGGACAGGATGGATGGAAACCATGATTCAGAGAAGCCTGGGCAGCAAATGCCCTGTCCTTCAAACATGAGGGCACTGGGCTGGGGGTTGGGTGGGGTTGGGGGAAGCCTGGCTCTTTCTTTGCATTCTAAGCATTCTAAGCAGAATCCCAGTGAATGTCCTAGAACTGGAGCCTTTACTGGAAATAAGCCAGAGGCAGCTATATCTATCTATCTATCTATCTATCTATCTATCTATCTATCTATCTTGCAGCGATTATTTTGGATCAAATTTGGACTCCTCATGAGGATTTCTATGTCCTTTAGAGGATTTTGATGTCTTCTGCCATGAGCCTAATAGGAACCACTTCATATTCTTGTACATAATTTCCAAAGGTTGCATGTGGATTCAGCTGCCAAAATGCTTGGCTTTCTTGGGTGTGACTTGGTCCCTCTGTTGTCCCAATTCTTCAGCATCCATCAGCAGGTGTTGACAGGTGTTGGCAACTTCTGCACCCAGTCATCCTGCTGGGGCTAGGGATACACAGTCGAAGAGGATAGGATCCTCGACTTCACTCACAACTTCCAGACTGCTCAGGGGCATTGGTAGCATGCAGTGAGGCGTGCTATGAGGGAGGGTGCTTTGTGAGCCCAGTGTTCTACCCAGCAGTGTGAGGAAGGTTTTCTGGAGGAGATGACATCTAAGCTGAGACTTGAAGGATAAATAGTTTTCCAGGTTGGAGAGGGGAACAGTATGTTTAAAGACTCAGAGGCAGGAGGAGATAAAGGACTGTTTATCTCTTATGGAAGCCGCAAGTTTGAGACCAAAGCGTGACCCCACTGTGCCATCTTGGAGTTCCTAAGGATGTCACAGGATGTTGGGTATTTATAGTACACAACCTCCTTAGGTACAAGTGCTCCAAAGAGGACTTACTTAGCCCATGTGCTGTTCTGATGCACTTCCTCAGGGCTGGTGGACTAGCTGTGACCCTAGTCCCTGCGGTATGGAGTACTGTAAGAAGAGCTGGGCTCAGATTCAGCATGACTTGGGCCTGGTGGCCCTTTAACACATCACCTTTGCTGGGCCTCCCAGCCTGGGGTTAGTACTAGAAGACCTACCTCCTCCTTCTGTTTGTTGTCATCCTCTTCTTCCACGTATTGACCTTTTCAGGGCCCTCTGTGCCCCTGCTTCTGGCCCCTGTGCACCTGGCTCTTCAGGCTCAACCTGGTCCCCACCAGCCTCACCATCAGCCTCTCCATTCCTGCCACTTCTCAGCTCATTCTGTGATGAGCTTTTGATTCTAACTGATACCCTGGGCCTCCCACCACAGGATATCAATCTCTCTTTCTGTGAGAGTTTTAGAGTTTAGAGGGGCTTTAGGGGCCACCAGGTAAGTCAAGCCTTATCATGTCCAGCAAGGAGAAGGGATTTGCCCAGAGTCATCAGAGGGGTGCAGGTTCAGGGTCAGAACTCTTCTTCCTTCAGCCCATGGCTGCTCTCCAGGCTTGGCCCTCTCCTCACACCCTTACTTCATCATCCACCAGGTGCAGCACTGCCTTCCTAAGTCAACTTGACTCCTGGTTTCTGACCCAGCAACCTCTGCTTGGAGCACGCTGTGGCCTCTATAGACCTATAGGGAAACCCAGGGAGAGAGTGTTTCCTTCCTCAAAGGGATAGAGGGGCAGATGGTGTAAATTGGGAGGTGTGAGTTTTTAAATAATAATAATAAAATTGAATATATAATACATGCACAAGATATAAAAATCAAAAAGTATGCAATGAAAAAGTCTCCTTCTTGCCCTACCCCTAACCACCATCTGTCTTCCTCCCCAGAGACAATGTCTCCTTTTCTCAGAAATGTTTCCGGAGATGGCCAGGCATACTCAAGTGTGTGTGTGTGTGTGTTTCTAATTTAACTCAAATGATAATGTGGTAGAATTTGAATAAAAAGTAACCTCACATCATGCAATGTGTTCCAAAGGACATGAGATAACCTACTAAAATAAACTTTAGAATAGGGGCAAATTTAGCAACATAGGACACCCAGGATTTATTGTTAAGTGAAAGAAAAAATAAAGTTCCAAAATAGAATGTATGTAGCGTTCTATTTTTGTTAAAAGAAAGCTATGTTCTCTAAGCATTTTTTTTAAAAAGTCTGAAGTGTCACAGCCAAGAGGAACCTAAGAAGATATGACAACTAAATGTAATGTGGTGTCCTGGATGGGGTCCTGGAGCAGATAAAGGACATTAGGGGAACACTAAGGAAATCGAAGGAGCTCTGGTGGCATAGTGGTTAAAGCATTCCACTGCTAATCAAAAGGTTGAAGGTTGAACCCACCAGCTACTCCTTGGGAGAAAGATGAGGCAGTCTGTTTTCATAAAGACTTACAGCCTTGGAAATCGTATGAGGCAGTTGGTCACTTTGAGTTGGAATCAACTCAGTGGCAGTGGGTTTGGTTTTTGGAAGGCAATCTGAATAAAGTGTAGACTTTACTCAATAATAGGTAGTAGTGTTGGTTCATTAATTGTGACCGATGTACCATACTGATGTAAGATGTCACTAATAGGGGAAACTACCATTGTCCTGGAGTGAATTCTGACTCATAGTAGTCCTTTGGACAGAACTGCTCCGTAGGGCTTCCAAGGCTGTAATCATCGGAAGCAGACTGCCACATCTTTCCCTCATGGAGTGGCTGGTGGGTTCAAACCACCGAACTTTTGATTAGCAGCCAAACATTTTAACCACTGTGCCACCAGGGCTCCTTCTAGGGGAAGCTAGATGTGAGTGTATGGAAAGTCTCTGTACTATCTTTGGAACTCTTCTATAAATATAAAACTTGTAAAATAAAAAGGTCATTTTTTATAAAAAGATGAGATGTGCAGCACACTGTTTGCTTCAGGCAACGGGATTCCATGAGATATTTTTTTTCTCCTTTGGTTGAGCCTGTGTTTTCTGAGTTTTCTCCCACAACTACATATTATGTGTATAATGAATTAACAATGCAACAGAACAAAAGCATTGGATAGATCACACTACCGACTCTAGCCCTTATGGTGGAGGGTTCCAGTTATGTCAGCAACCCTGACTGTTGGCCCAGAACGTTCAGGAGGTGTTGGGGCAGGGCACTGCTCAGCAGGGGGCTGCTCTCTTTGGAGACGCAGAGGCTCAGGGATGCTAGGGGAACCTCAAATCCACTCCCATGCCCTTGGCTGGTGTAGTGGTTCCAAGCTCTCCACAGTCTTTACAAAATGTCTCCATTTAAAAACAAAAAAAGCAACCCCCCCCAAAAAAAATGTTATGCATTTACTATGTATTCATGGTAGAAAAATTGAAGAGTACATATAACACAAAGAAGAAAATGAAAGCACTTGAGATTCTACTGCTCAGAGAGAACTACCTCTTACATTTTTGGAGTTTATGCTTCTAGAATTTTAAAACTCATATATACCCAATAATATCCAAAAACATGTGACTGTTTATTAAAAAATGGACCATGCAATATATATATAGCTTGGTAATTTTTCCACTTTTTAAATTATTAAACAAGTATACATTGAGCCCTTCTTGTAGCAGAACTGTTCTAGGCTCTAGGAATATTACAGGGAACAAACAGGTCTGGCCCTGCCCTTGTGGGTTCACATTTTAATAGAGAGATAGCCACTAAACAGTCGTAAGAGTCGGTATGCCACCAAAAAAAAAAAAAAAAACCACCAAACTGACAGCCATAGAGTCAATGCTGAGTCATAGTGACCTCCATAGAGTTTCCAAGGCTGTAAATCTCTATGGAGCAGCTGGTGGGTTTGAACCACTGACCTTCTGGTTAGCAGCCAAATGCCTAACCCAGCAGACCACCAGAGCTCCTAATGCAGTATGCCTGGTGGTGATAAATGCTATGGAGAAGAATGAAGCAAAGGAGGGAATGAGGAAGCCTGGAGAGAGGGAGCACTGCTGTTTTGTATCATGAACAGGGAAAGCCTCAGGGGTCTCCTGAGCAGAGACCTGAAGGAAGTTCTGTTCCCTGTGGGAAAGGCGTTCACCCAGAGGGAACATCAGGTGCAAAGGCCCTGAGGCAGGAGTGTGTCTGTGGTATCCTGGAGCAGAGTGAGTGAGAAGGGAGGTGGAAGGAGCTGGGCCTTGAGGGGTACCTGGGAGCCAGGTCCTGTAGGACTTTGTGGGTCAGAATAAGGACTTTGGGTTTTACACTGAGGGCAATGGAAGCCAGGATTGGCTACATACATTTGTTGGGCCCCATGGAAATGAAAATACAGGATCCCTGGATCAGAAATTAAGAACTTTAAAATAGTGAGTGCAGAGCATTAAACCAAATGTGAGACCCTTCCGTGAAGCTGCTCCTGATCAGCAGAGCCATTGGAGGGTTCTGAGCAGAAGAGTGGTGTGATCTAATGTGTTTTCCCAGGATCGCTCTAGCTGCTTCGTGGAAATTATCATTATAAACTACAAAGAGTACAAGGACATAATGAGTAGGACACTTGTTACAATGGGCAGCCTGCACGTATCCTAGAAATGGATTATGAGTAAAGGACATAATGTTGTTTGCCACTGAATTGATTCTGACTCATAGCCACCATAGAGGACAGAGTAGAACTGCCCCCGTGGGGTTTCCTAGCTATAATCTTTAAGGGGGCAGATCACCAGGTCTTTTCTCTTACAGAGCTACTGGTGGGTTCAAACCTCTGACCCTTAGGTTAGCAGCTGAGTGTTTAACCACTGCATCACTCCTTAAAGGACATATAATAGACATTTTAAGGATATTAATACATGTATTGCCCAGTTGTTCTCTAGAAAGGAACTGTTCAAAAATGATGAGGCCCCACTCATTATCTAAGCTAAAAATAGCAAAGCCAAATGTATTTATTCTAGTAAAGGAGAGCCATGCTGGTCAGCCCAGTCTCTCTGAGCAGAGTGAACTGATGATCTTGTGTGGGTTTAGGAGAAATGTGGACTTCAGAGATTAGTGGATATGCAGAGGCATAGGTGTGGGTGTAGGGGGGAATCATTTGTAAAAAACATACTAAGGGAGACTTGTTGATGGGATGGTACTCGGAGGACAGTTTATTGGCATGAACCAGTGTTTAAACTTGATTACTTCTAATTTCTTCTTATATCATTTGTATACAAGTACCCATTTCCCCAGAGACCTGACAGTACTGGCTAGTACCTTTTTTTTTTTTGCCAATTTAATGGGAAAAAATGCTATTAATTTTCAGTTCTTAGAATACTAACTGGGTGGCATAATTTTCTTCTATTTGCCATTTTTTTTTTTTCTAATGAATTGCTTATTTGTTCCCTTTAGAGATTAAGGCTATTCATTCTTTGTCAGTGGTCCCTGGGTGGATTTACAGCCTCAGAAACCCAATGGGGGTCGCTATGCATCAGAATCGACTCAATGGCAGTGGGTTTGAGGTTTTTTTTGACTGACCAAAAGGTTGGCAGTTCAAACCCACCCAGCACGGCTGCAGAAGGCAGGCCTGATGATCTGCTTCTGTAAAGATTATGGCCAAGAAAACCTTATGGAGTGCAATTCTCCCGATACATGGAGACACCGCAAGTTGGAATCGACTTAGTGCATTTGCTTTTTATTCTTTATCAAAGATGCAATATACAGATAGCTCTTCCCTAGTTAAGTGCCTCTGTGAAAAGGGATAATAATAGTACTTCTCTTGCAGGTTGTTGGACAGGCCAGTGAGTGCACTCGTGTGGCTGGCAGCATGGTGCAAGGATTGGCTGTTCTTGCCAGCCATCCACTGTCTATGCTCTAGCAGGTAGAGTGCCTGACCTGATACTCTGTGGGCTGCCTGTCAGGACTATAGCTCCGAAGCTGTGGGCTATGTCCCCTCCCTACCCTGATTGTGCTTTGTTCCCCCAGGCCTGGATATCCACTTCATCCATGTGAAGCCCCCACAGCTGCCTGCAGGCCGCACCCCGAAGCCCTTGCTGATGGTGCATGGCTGGCCTGGCTCCTTCTACGAGTTTTATAAAATCATCCCTCTCCTGACTGACCCCAAGAACCACGGCCTGAGCGATGAGCATGTTTTTGAAGTTGTCTGCCCTTCCATTCCAGGCTATGGCTTCTCAGAGGCATCCTCCAAGAAGGGTAGGGACTGCTAGAAGCGATGTGCCTGCCCAGCCCTTGCCCAGCATGGGCAAGATTCTCCCATCAGGCACTTCTTTGGGGAGGAGGATTAGGCAAGGTGTTGAGTAGGACTGAGGATGCTGGCGAAGGGGGTTTGGAATTAGAGGGCAGAGGCAGCTGGAAGGCATTGTTGCTATGTGAGGGCCAGCACATTTTCTTAGGATTTGAGGAGTGCAGAGGGGGAGGGGCTGGGCAGAGCACCAGTCACAGTGTTCAGTGCTGGTTCTGGGGCCTGAACTCTAGTGTTCTCAAGACTTCCTCACTCAGGGGCAGGTCTGTGTCTGGGCCCTAGACTGTTCCAGGCTAGCAAGGCTGATACACACGGTGAATGTAGGTGCACAGGTACCTTACAGGGCAGGGGCTAGCTTGAGCTGAAAGCACCCCTCCTGACCTGGCAGAGGACCGGCAGTTATTCACAGTCCCCTCTACCAGAGACTGGCCCTGTCAGGACGCTGCCTTTTGGAGCTAGAACCCCACCCTATCTTTTTGGCCCTGGGATTCCTCCTAGCTGTCTATAGGCTTCCTTTCATTTCAGCTTGGGGGAGGCAGGCCTGAGGAATTTCACAGGGTACCTGAAGGCCCCACGGAGTGACCATCGTGTGACTCAGTTCGCTTCTCCCTTACCCTAAACCAGGCTTGAATTCAGTGGCAACTGCCAGGATCTTTTATAAGCTGATGCTGCGGCTGAACTTCCAGGAGTTCTATGTTCAAGGTGGAGACTGGGGCTCCCTGATCTGTACCAACATGGCCCAGATGGTGCCCAGGTAAGGGTCACTTTCAAGTGTGTATGTGTGTGTGTGTGTGTGAATTGTATGTGCACATCCCTCTAAGAGGTGGTCTTCTGTGCAGTGTTGTCCACTGGCCACTGTGCCTGAACCTTGGACACCACCTCCCCTTCCCCCAACCCTGCCAGGGATGCTATGGGCCCAGGGAAGAGCTGGGAGGGTCCCGTCATTCAGCTGTGTCTGGGCCACTTTGACCTAGATCCTCACTCTGTGTAGTATAACACAGGTCTGATGACTCTGTACCAGGTGTCCAGGTAGAGAGGGCCAATGGGGGGAGGGAAGAGACCTGACTGGAACTTTCTAGAAGTTGAATATCTTTGCCAAACCCCTTTCTTCAAATTCCTGTGGCTACCCTAGAGGGGCAGGGGGATGAAGGGGGCTTGGCATTGTACTTCTCAGCTTCTTGTCTTTTTTCTCCTATCTATTCTGCCCTCAGCCACGTGAAAGGCCTGCACTTGAACATGGTTTTCGTTGTAAGAAATTTCTTCACCTTGACCCTTCCTCTGGCACAGCATTTCCGGAGGCTTTTTGGCTACACTGAGAGGGACATAGAGCTGATGAGCCCCATCAAGGAGAAGTTCTTCTATAGCCTGGTGAGGGAGAGTGGCTACATGCACATCCAGGCCACGAAGCCGGACACCGTGGGTGAGCATTCTCAGGGCGGCTGGAGCTGGGCCTTCTTCCTTAAGGGCTGACATCACAGACATAAATGGCTTTAGGTCCATTTCATTCAACAAGGTATACAACCAGGGAAACCTTACTATCCCCCCCGAATACTGCTCACAGGACTGGAAGCCTTTTCTAGGGAACTCCAAGTTCTTTTGACCATAGAAGTAAATTTGTAACAGTCATCAAATCCCCAGGCCAGACGAAACAACTCTATTTAGCTGATTCAATGATTATAACGGCTTTGACCTCTGGTTCCCCTCACCTCTGAGCCCTAGTCCTCTGCTGGGAAGCAGAAGGATAAAGGATGGGGAGAGGAAGAAGCCTGAAGTGTGGGCAGCTCTGGGGCTGCGGAGGTGGAGCCCCAGCAGAGGAAGGGAAGAGGTTACCTCTGGGCCCCTAGGGAGAGGTTCCTGTGACAGTGAGGGAGGGCCCAGAAACCATTTCTACCACCAGGATCCTGTTAAAAGCATAATTCTTTTAAAAAAGAAAAGCATAATTCTTTTTAAAAAGGTAAAACCATACAAATATAAAATGAGCACGTTCATAGATACTATTTAGCTCAGTCGTTGTAAAAGGAACCTGTAAAATAAAAAAAAAATTTAAATGGTTCAAAGGCAATTAGGAACACTGAAGTCAATTTGCTAATAGATTCAAAACTGCTCAGAAATCCACAGGGAAAGTCTCAATTACATCGCCACTGGACAAAATTCATTTGCTTCTCTATGAACAAAAAGCATTGCATTAGTATCAGTTTTCTACCATTTATAGACCTGTACAGTAGCTCAAAGACAAGGGAAGACAGGACCCCAAATAGAATCAGATAGCCCCATAAGGGTCCACTAGAAAACTCAAACTTTCACTGGAAGGACAGCCACCAATCCTTTTGCCTATTTCAAAAACTTTATTTACAGTTTTCGTGACGTCTCATGCTCACATATATAAGACAGCCCATAATAATAATAATAGCACTTTATAAAACTGGTCTTTTTTTTCTAAATATAAAAGTAATCCATGTTCCTTGCCAAAAGATTGAAAAATGCAGGAAAAACCCCAAACAACTGAAAAGACAATCACCTCTAACCTCCCCTCCCTTCCCAGTCCTCTCTCCTCTTCCTAGTCTTTAAAAGAACTTGCTAATATTTTGGCTGATGAATTTTCACAAATGGAATATACCCCCATAACAGCAGTCTCATCAGGAAACAGAACATGACCCCAACATCCCAGAAGGCCCCCTGTGCTCTCTTTCTAGGCACACCCCCACCCAAGGTGAACCATTCTCCAAATTCTAACAGACAGATTGCTTTTGTTTGTTTTTATACTTTACACGAATGGAATCAGAATATGTATTCTGAGTCTAGTTTCTTTTGCTCTGTGTTCTGTTTTGAGAGGTTTATATATGTTGTTCCCCCAGCCATTTTTAATAACTGCACACTATTTTAGCTTATGGGTATATTTATATATTTATTATAAATATGTTTAACATTTTCCACTTTAACATTTTTTACACGTACAATTCAGTGCCATTAATTACGTTCATCTTGCTATTTAACCATCACCGTGATCTGTTTGCGAATTTTTCTGTCACCCTGAACAGCTCAGTGTCCTAAGCAGTGAGTCCCCCATTCGCCTTCCCTCCCATCCACCCGGGGTTAACCACGAATCAGTATCAGTATTTTTAACTGATAACCTGTTTTGGACTTTTAGATTGTTTCTCATTTGTCTCTAATTATGCTGTTGTTGTTATGTGCTGTCAAGTCAGACCCGACTCATAGTGACTCCTCCTTGGGTTTCCAAGGCAGTATCACTATAGAAGTAGATTGCCCCATCTTCCTTCTGAGGAGTGGCTTGGTAGGTTTGAACTGCCAGCCTTCTGGTTAGTAATCAAGTGCTTTAGGCACTACACTACCAGAGCTCACGTCTCTAATTGTAGCATACCAAAAAAAAAAAAAAAAAAAACCAAACCCACGGCCATTGAGTCAATTCTGACTCATAGTGACCCCTATTGAGTTTCCCAGGCTATAAATCTTTATGAAAGTAGACTGATTGCCTCATCTTCCTCCAGTGGAGTAGCTGGTGGGTTTAAACTGCTGATCTTCTGGTTAGCAACCAAATACCTTATGCACTGTGCCACCAGAGCTCCTTACTATATAGCTCACAGCTAGTATAAACAGAAAAACCAAACTCACTGCCGTGGGGTCAGATCCAATTCAAAGTGACCCCTCCTTGGGTTTCTGAGGCAGGCAGATTGCCCAACCTTCCTTCCAAGGAGTGGCTGGTGGGTTTGAACTACCAGCCTTCTGGTTAGCAGTCAAATGCCTTAGCCATACAGACCAAAAAATAAAACCAAAGAAACAAAAAACCACTACCACCAAAACAGTTTTTGAAAATGCCATTCATATATATTTCTCATTTGGACCTCACAAAACCCAAAGTCACAGACCTTTTCATTTGAAAGAAACTGCCTGTACAGTGTGTGACGCCCGTGAAGTAGTGGGGAGGTGTTATTATCCTCATGTATCAGATGAGGATCGCAAGGCTGAGGGTTAAGGAAGTGAGTTAAGGGAGAGCAAACATGGCTTCCTGTCCATGGCCCACTGTGTAGGACCAGCACCACACCTCAGTCCTGAGTGGGCCCCTGGCTCCCAGCCTGAGTCCCTCCCTTGCTCCTTCCCACCCAGGCTGTGCTTTGAATAACTCCCCTGTGGGGCTGGCTGCCTATATTCTGGAGAAGTTTTCCACCTGGACCAATTCGGAATTCCAAAACCTGGAAGATGGAGGCCTGGAGAGGTGAGATCCCACTTGCCCCTGCCATTGGGTCCCCATTCCAGCAGCCACATTCTTCACCTATTATCCTCCTCCTCATCTCATCTCTGGTTGCTTTGTCTTGGTGGGAGGTGGTGGTAGTGGTGATAGGAGGCACAGATTAGCAAGTTCCAACTGTTTTTGGCTGACCCTCCACTTAGCCTTTTCTTATGGATGAGGAAGCTTAGGCACAGGGAGGTCTAGTGACCTGCTCAAGCCCACAGTAGGGTGGTCAGGAATAGGACATAGCTTGAGATTTTCCATGCTACGTTTGCTAAGCAGCCATCTCCTGGTGTCTGGGAGTCATGAGAGTGGTGTTCACCCTTCTAGAACCTAGAGTCTGGACCTTTCCTTCCTGAGCCCTGGGCTCCCTGCTCCCCCAGCTTCATGCCAGGAGCTGGCATCATGGCCACAGCTGCTCACTCTGGAAGCCAGTCAATCCCCGGAGTGTAGCTGACAGGAAGATGTGAGGGTCTGTCCCATTACCCAGTCTTAGAAGGCTGCAGCTTCCACACAGCAGGGACTCTCAGGTCTCTGGCCAAACTCAGGCTTCATCAAGGTCGCCTCTGAACCACCTTCTCTGAGCCCATTACTTTCTTTATTCCTTCAGCGACTCACAGCATGAGACCCAATGCTGGGGTGGGGGAAGATCATGAAATGAGAGGGATCCCTGCCTTGAGGAAGGAACTGTGTCTTGGCCCTGCTCTTATCACCTAGAGCCATGCCATGAGTATAATAGGTGCTTAGTAAATATTTGTTGAATGAATGAGTTCTAGAATACAGACACACGCATAGGACCATCGCAGTCTAGAGGGAGGAGGAGTTGATTAGTCTACAGACAGGGAGAGGAAGTGACTAGAAGAATGTTTGGGCCTTGAAGGGGTAGAGTTTTTCGTGCAGAGAAGGGAGAAGGAAATGTAGGCAAAGGAAGAGCAGAAGCAAGGATTGGTGTGATTAAAATGAAAGGTGTGCTTGGACTTGTGCGAGGCTGAAGCAGGTACACTGGGGCCAGACCATGAACTCATTCTTATAGGCAGATCCTCCGAGAGTCTTGGCAAGCCCTCACCCTGGGATCTGTTTCTCTACCCCACAACCAGCAGGACCCAGGGGTCCATGTATCTGTTAGGACCACTCTGGCAAGAGGCCTTGTCCTGCTCCTTGCCCACAAATATGGGGAGCAGCTGCCAGACATAAGCTCCCCACCCCAGGCCCAGACTGAACCCTTGAGCCACCTCCTACAGCTCCTGCTGGGCTACAAGGAAAACCAAAGCTTGAGCAGTGGACAGACATAATCAAGTCTGTGTGCTACAAAGATCTCTTTCACTGCAGTAGGACAAAAGATGGTTATTACAACAGTTTTCAAGCTGGTGTAGTACTCTGGAATAGGGCTACCTGGGTCAGGAAGCCTGGCCCCTCCTTCAACAGGCATCTACAACTTGGAGCCAGTTCAGGGCTCAAGTGCTCAACATACCCAGACTGTAATTTGTCTGCCCCCTCTCTGGACTTGGAACTCCTCATCTTTCTCTCCCTAGCATCTAACATGGGGCCTGGGCCCAAGGGCATCAAGAAGGAATGACACATTCTGGATATCCATTTTATCGCTTTCTCTTGAATGGACAGCTTGCTGTTAGAAATGAGCCAACCAACAGAGTAAACATGGTGTTCCTGGCGCTTCTTGACCCAACTCACTCTCCCCACCCCTACCTTCTTCACTCCCTGCACTTTAGCCAGGCTGCATACTCCCCAGGCAGGTCCATGGTGCTGCCCTCTATGCTCAGCCTTTGTGCCTTTTGCACATGGTAATCTTCTGTCTGATACCCTTCCCCCCAATTTACTTTCCTTTAAAGATTCAGTGCACAAGGGAAGAAGCAGCCTTCCCTAACTGCTCCCTCCGTCCAGGCAGAATTTGTCATTGTGCCTCGCTCCCCTACCTCTGCCAGTACCACCAGTGGCTTATGCTTGATCTCCCTGCTGGGCCACAGGCTTCTCTAGGCAGGCACCCAGCCCGATTCACCTTTGGATCTTCTATACCTAGTCAGCACCTGACACAAAGTAGGTGTTCAAAAGGTGCTTTCTTAGCAAGTGAATAGTAGTACAACAGTACCATTTTAAGGGAGCTCTGGTAGCATAGTGCCTAAGGCACTTGACTGCTAACCAGAAGGCTGGTGGTTCAAACCCACCAGCCACTCCTCAGAAGGAAGGTTGGGCAATCCTAGTTTCGTATTGATACTGCCTCAGAAACCCAAGGAGGGGTCGCTATGAGTCGGGGCCGACTCGACAGCACATAACAACAACACCCTTTTAACAGATAAATTTTGGGATGCCAACTTCCTGGCAAACAGGCTGCTGCTATTAATGAACCTGAATGTAATGCTTTTACTTTGCAAATTTCTACATCTTTTCCTAGTATTGATTCTGTTTTTACAAGAGGAGAAACTGGGGCACGGACAGGGTAAATAATTGCCAAAGTCCCAATGCTCTATAGTAATGTGGCCGAGACCAGATGTGGGTCACTAGACTTCTGGCTCTTTCAGGAAGCAATGCTGGGTTCAAAGGAAGACGGAAGCCAGACTTCATTCCTGCTCCCAGGAGCTCAAAATCCATGCAGCCCCAATAAGTGCTGCAAATCCCATAGAATTCTAAGAAGTGGGAGATTCGTTGCCCTGGAGAAATCTGAAACCAGGCTTCTAGAGTGTGGGGTTGGAGGGACCCACTAGAGAGAATCATGGAGCTAGGGAAGGGCAACATGGTTAAGCAACCATAGTTAGGAGCATAAGTCCTAGACCCAAAGTGCCTAAGTTTAAATCCTAATTCTCAAGGTTATAACAGTACCTACATCTTATAGGCTGCTGAGAGGAATACATGAATTAATCCATGTAGAGAGCTTAGAGCAGTGCCTGCCTCGTGGGTGGTAAGCACTACCTTCACCATCGTATTAGTAGCTGGTGACCCAGGGCAGGTTCTGAACCTGTCTGTGGAATGGGGATGATGGCACCAGCCTAGTAGTAGCCTTATCACAAGGGTAAACCACATCAGCACAGCACCTGGCAGATGTGGGAGCTGGAAAGTGGCAGCTCCTATTTATACTGCAGCTGCTACTGGTGCTGAGTGTGGCTTCCTGGTCTGCTTCCCAGGAAGTTCTCCCTGGATGACCTGCTGACCAACATCATGCTGTACTGGACAACTGCAACCATCGTCTCCTCACAGCGCTTCTACAAGGAGAACTTGGGTCAGGGTATTAACGTCCACAGGCATGAGCGGTGAGCCTGGCTGAAGCCTGTAGTGGGGACCTCTTAGGCAGGGAGCGGGGGACTCCAAACATGACCTCAAAGAGAGGCATTTGGTGGTGGGAAAAGTAAAGCCTGGCCTAGCTCCCCTCTGCAGTGTGCACTGGGTGCCTGGGATGAGAACACTATTTAAAGAGGTCAGGGTGCTTGCAGAAATCCCTATACCTTTCCAACTGATACCCAGAGGACGCACCACACCTGGGCTCTAGATGTCCCTAGGGCTTTGACCTGATACTGCACTGATGATTCTGGGATGTCCCCAGCACCCTGCTGGGACCAACTAGTTTCCATAACTCACATGGAGACCCTCAGGCAACAACAGTAAAGGGAAGGGAAGGGAGAGCAAAGGTGGAAATTGGAGGTTGTCTGACCCTCACTCTGGGATATGTTCTCCATCCCTCCTCCCAGAAAAGAGAAGGTCCTTAGTAGGTTGGAATTGAGGGGGTGGAGTGGGAAAGATCGTTAAAACCCTGGGTCTATCCTTTTCTTTATGGCTCTGAAGGTTCGTGAGAGTGGGTGAGCTGACCCCCTCTCTCAAGGCCCCTACCCCCAACTCTGAGCAACAGAGAGAGGTGCGGGGAGCCTCGCCTTCAGTGGGATCTTTCCCCAACCCCCAGGATGAAGGCCTACGTGCCCACGGGCTTTGCCGCCTTCCCTAGCGAGCTAATGCACACCCCGGAAAACCTGGTGAGGTTCAAGTGTCCGAAACTGCTCTCATATTCCTACATGCCCCGTGGGGGCCACTTTGCTGCCTTTGAGGAGCCAGAGCTGCTTGCAAAGGACATCCGCAAGTTCGTGGGGCTGGTGGAGCGGCAGTGACACCCAGAGGGGACTGGAGTTTGCCACTAAGCCAGCCTCAACCCCTCACTGCTAACCTTCCTTTTTACATGGAAGCCCTCAGCCTCCTAGCGCTCCCCTTGAAGCAGCCCACACCCTCCCTGCTCCCTGGGCAGCAGGGCTGGTAGGAAGGAAAGACCTCCTTTTCATGGCAAAAATGACTCTTTCCTAAGGAATGAGTTTGTATCTTTCCCCTGCCCATGCTGGAACCCCATGCTCACTCCCTATACCCTCTCCATCCCACCCCACCCACGTGATAAGACATGGCTTTGATAATAAATGATTTTATATCTAAGTGATGTGCTTGTCCCTGACTCCACATCAGCTGGAAGCTCTGCAGCTTGCACTGGGGAGGGGGATCTCACCTGGGCTCTCTGCTGCCTCTCCTGATGGGAAGGGGAGGCCTGCTGGAGTCAGGCCACTAACCATGGCCATGCTGCTTGGGGACCCCAGTGCAGGAGGCTAGGCTGCCCTGACAGACAGACAGACAGACGCATCCCGCCTCCACCCACTCCCTCCCAGTACTCCCTCCCAGCGTGCTTGGGCAACTCAGGAGTCCAACCGAGTGAGTGCTTAGGGCAGGTCAGCAGGGAGAGTGAAATTCATTTCATTTCAGGCTGTGAAATGGGCCCCCACTTTGGGCCTTGCTGCAAAAATCCTCAGCCAGGCCAGCTGCAAACAAGCCCAGGGCAAGTCTAGTGAGCGGCTGCAAGGCCCAAAGCCATCTGGCTCAAGCTGTCATGCTTGGGAAGCCTGTGGCAGCACCGCCTGTGCCCAGTGTGCCAGATTGGGCCTCTGGCGCCACCTGGACTCAAGAAGGAGGAAGCGCTTCAGGCACAAGACCAAAGTAGCTTCCCAGCTTAGGAAGCATTGGAAGAAAAAAGGCAAAGGAGGGCTGCCTGTCCTTCCTGCTGAGATCACAGTTCAAGATCAGTGCACGGCCCTGCACCCAACCCCAAACACTCTCCTCCTCTTTCTGCCCTGGGCTGGAATCCAGCCCCGTGCCCACCCATGCTCCAGCCCCTGGCTGTCCCATCCACCTTAGAAGATGCAAACAAACAGGATTGAGGGCTAAGCCCCCTACTTGCTGCCCTGAAAAAAGCAGAAGAGGCTGGGTCTCAGTATTGTGCCTAAATGGACACTTTATTAATGATCTGTGGTTGTTCCTGCCTGCTGTGGGGATCCTGACCCAGGCATAGCATCACTGGCAACATTGTACAAAAACCCAGAGAGCCAGATGAGGGGGTATGTGCACAGCTGGCTGAAGCCTGCTGCAGCCAGCATGGCCCTATCCCTTCTCTGACTCCTGGGAGCAACTTCCAGGGGCCACCTATGCTGAGGGTGGGGGATGTGGTGAATGACTTAGTATGAGGAGGAGGGAGCTACACTGAACCTGGGTTCCCATCTGCACCCCAACTCAGACCCCAGAATGCTGTATGTAGGCGTTTAAGTTATCAGGTGTGTGGGAAGTATTCAGAAGGGAGGTCTTCTGCTGGTGACATTTCTCCCTATTACCTTCTGGAGTCACCAGGGCTAATAGTTCTGTAGGACAAAATTCCAAGACATGATTTTGGCTAAAAATCACTGGGAACATCATTCTAGCTAGGAGCTAGGAGCTTGTGCAAGAGAAGGGGACCTGGGAAATGAGCAGGCCCTAGGGGAGCAGGTAAGGTAGGGAGCTGAATGTACAACCCTCATTGTTACTGTGACCAGAAAAGAGTACCCACTGGCCCTTAGCTGGTATTCCAACCCATCCTGCCCACCCAAGAGCCTGAGCCCCTGACCTTCCTGGGTCTACCTTTTCCAGAGCAGTGGAATTTGAAATTGTGGAGAGAATTCCTGGACTCGGTCAGCATCAGAGTCAAGCCGCTTCTGCTCCTGCATCTCCTCTGTGCTTGGCTCCCCCAGTTTGGCCCAGCTGGGCAGTTTGACCTCAGGCCTCCTGATACGTAGAAGCCACACTGTCGGCAGGGGTCTGGGCTGAGCACTGCCCTGGGAGAGTTCCACTGATATTTTGAATGGCACCATAGGTCTGCTGCTGCTGTGGGGACAATGCTGTCTTCTCCGAGGCCAAGCTGTTTAGAATCCGGGGCACATATGGCTGCCAGAAAATGGGGGAGTTAATGCTTTGGGTGGGGTGGGCATGAGATTCCATACCCATTCCTCCCCCACTGTCCACAAGTGTCGTTCACTCTCTTCATCCCAGCAAGGCTCGTAAAGTAAAAGACATACACAATGAAATCACAGTAGACTTAGGAAACCAGGAGCCAAAATGTGCTGACTGCAGAGCTTCCTAGCAGCCAGAGCAAAATGCAAAACACAGTCGTTACCCAGTTCTCATCGTGATAGAGAAGAAGCACATCATTTCTCAGCACTGGACTCTAAAGGAATTTCTCACTGAATGTGGGAAACAAGTGTCTGTTGACTGAGGGCTGGCTTAGAGTGCTTCCAAATGAATTTCTTGGTTGCTGAACAAACCTGTGTGAATTACGGTCCCTCTGGTCCCAGGCTTCAGAGGCTGACCCAGGCTTAGCCCTGTTCCCCTCTTCCCCAGACCCAGGCTGAGAAGTGAGGGAATACATTGTCCACCAGCCCTGCCTCCTCCCCTGCCTGGCTGGCACAGCCACAGGTATGTCCCTCAGCAAGAGATTTTTCTGAGGACTTTCTCCTCTGGGGCTTGTGCAAGGACAGACACTGATAAGAGGGCCTGACACCTGGAAAGGACACCTGCTTATGGCACTGGTCCAGGTGTAGGCAGCTCCATTTCTCTTGTCCAGCCCTACTATATGAGCTGGAAGCAGAAGACCAAGCAGAATGGGAGTCCTGGTGCCTTTCTCACATAGCGCCTTCATTTTAAGCAGGTGCTCAGTTCATTTGTTGAATTAAAACGGGGGGGGGGGGGTTGTGGGGGGAAGCTTGTTTGACCTTGTCTTGGTGTCTAGCAGAGAGCCTCAGCCAGGCAGGTGCCAGTGAGTGGCTCTGATAAAGCCTTACAGTATTGCTTCACTAAAGCCAAAACCTCACCATGCATTAAATATGCAGCAAAGGAAAGTCAACAAGGAACTGAAACCACTGGGGGAGGGGCTTACTTTGGGGCAAGTTATTGTCTCAGTGGCTGATGTGGCTTCACACATGCAGGCCCCCCATCCAAAGGGACTAGGGATGTCTTTTCGGTTGACAAAACTCAGAAACCCACCTGCCATGTCATCAGGGGCCTTCAAAACATGTTTTCCTGGGGCCTATCTAGTTAGGACCGGTAAAACCAGAGGAAGAAAGGAAATAAATGCTTGAGTTTGAACCATTGCTTACTGTGAATGGTGGGGGCGCAGCAACCTCAGGCTCGCTTCCTTTGTCACTTGCTGATTCCTCTGTCTGCAGAGAACAGCCAAACATTGCAATGGTAAACAAAACTGATCTTCCTGTACCAACACCCTCCAAACAAACAGACAATTAACACCCAGAATAATAGTACCAGCTGGCACCAAGCACTTAGCAGCAGCCCAAAAGAGGACTTGGGGGGAGGGTGCAGAGAGTAGGAAAGTGGGGGGAGGAAGCCACACATCACACCCAGCTACCCACGCCTTTCTCATGGATAAATAAAATCTGGAAAAGACTGTTGGTATGTGAAGGGGAAGAGGAGGGCTAGAGTGAACCCACCATCTCTTCCAGGTCCTGGTTGGGCAGTGGTGGTAGGGGTCCCTTTACCTTGTAGTTCAGAGGGCTGAGGTGCTTGAAGCACCCAAAGCACGTGTAGGCCAGGCAGACCAGGATGGTGAGCAGCATCACCAGGAAGGTGAACAGGGTGGTGGGGGCCTTCAGACCTGGGAACAGAGAGGGAGGGCTGCCACTCACCCACACCCTGCTGAGGAAAGAGGCCACACCTGATGCAGGTACTATAGCTGTGCCCTCTCCTCTCAGTGAGTGACTTCTCCTTCAAGAAGAAAGTAAAGGGTATGCCTACACCTTCTTCTTGTTGTTGTTATGTGCTGTTGAGTCGGACCCGACTCATAGTGACCCCTCCTTGGGTTTCCAAGGCAGTATCAATATGGAAGTAGATTGCCCCATCTTCCTTCCAAGGAGTGGCTGGTGGGTTTGAACTGCCAGCCTTCTGGTTAACAGTCGAGTGCCTTAGCCACTATGCTACCAGAGCTTGGAGCCCTTCATTCTAGCAGTTAGGCTGGAGTCTTCATAGCCAGGATTGCACAGAGTGATCCACTGGACAGGTGGTCAGATTTCAAAACCTTTGCCGAGGCCCCCAGCAGGAACTGGGACTCCAAAAGCAAAACAAAAAATAAAACTAGACTCTAAAGTTCTCTTACTTGAGGACTAATTATTGTTTATCTTGAAAACATGCATAAACTTGACTGTAATTACTGGGCTGCACAGAGGATCAGATTTCATTCTTTCTTGGCAGTCTGTTTTGTGGATTACTTGTGATGCATCCCATTCTGGTTTAATGTCTATGCAGTAACAAATGGTTTTCTTTCTCTTCAAAATAAATAAATAAATAAAACCAGTTGCAAATGAGTCAATTAAGACTCATGGCAACCCCATGTGTTTCAGAACAGAACTTTGCCCCATAGGGTTTTCAATGGCTCATTTTTTTCTGGAAGTAGATCACCACGACATTAAGTCAATGACAATTTCCCAGCTTCCATGTTGGGTCAGTCTCTTTAGACTCCAGTGGCTTGGGCTAGATAGGATGATCTTCCCTGAACCTGACTGGGGCAGAGACACCCATTTCTTCTGTATTTTTCTTTTTTTCCAAAAGAATGTCAGTTCCCCCACCATGTCCTATCCTCTTCTGCTCTGTGAGGTATAAGGACCTGGGCCCACCCACTACCCCAAAGAGCAATCTGGATCAGTGGCCCAGCTCCTCTGGTTCAGCTCCTCCAAGGCTGATAAAAAGGTTCTTTTCTCTAAGGGTGCCTGGGTCAATCATCAGGCCTTCACTCTGGCTAGCTTGGGAGCTAGTCTATCAACCATCCCATTCAACCAGTCCTCCCGCTCAGGTACCACATTCTGATCAGATACCAAGTTGATGCTATTAAAGCGGTGTGTGATCTGATTGGCTGGGAATGTGAGGTCAAGGGTTGGGTCCCTTACCCAGACGCAGAAAGGAGAAGAAGTAGAGCCAGAAAAGGCATAGGATGGGAGCTGCCAAGGCCTGGTTCACAGCAGCAAAGTGGATCTTCTTCTCCAACTTGGCCGGGAGGTAGACAAAGTAGAGGTTGTGTCGGTCCACCATGTGCTTGAGCAGAATATAGATGAGGCCTGTGGAGGCAGGCTGTGAGCTGGAGGCTCCAACTGGACCACGAGGATCATCCTGCCCCCCCTTCCTCCAAGGGGTGGCTATATATGCAGAGAGCTGGGGCCAGGTGAAGGGGAAAGCCTGCTGCATGAATCCCAAGTTGGACAAAATGCATAACCTGGATGCTAGTATGTTCTGTTTCTCCCTATCTGTTTCCAGCCCCTCCTGGCCTCTTTCTGTTACCAATAGGGTAGAGGCATCTGTGATTCTATCCCTACGGAACACTGACATTCTAGAATCATTTTGAGGAAAAAGGCTATTTTACTAGTTGCCTGGGCTCATTCTCTCTGGGCCCCTCCCATGGTGTGTCCCCTCCCCTCCTCTCCCCCCACCCAGGCTGACAACCTGCCCTCACCACAGTCAATAGATGCCTGAGAGTCTTTCCCCAGGGGTGGCACTAAAGTTGGGTGCTCCCTTTTCTACTATGCCAAGTTCTTTTTTTAAAAAAAGTAATACTGTAGATTTTTAAAATAGAACGAGAGTAAGAATCAGAAGCAGTTGCCATACAGTTGACTTGGACTCATGCAACCCCATGTATGTCACAGTAGAATTGTGCTCCACAGAGTCTGTAACGGCTATGATCTTTCAGAAGTAAACCACCAAGTCTTTCTTCCTGGCACCTCTGGCTGGACTCAAACCTCCAACTTTTCAGTTAAAAGCCCAACATGTTAACTGTTTGCACCACCCAGGTGCATACACAGGCGAGTATGTAAGGAAAAATAAGACTTCCTCCTACCCCTCATCCTCAGCTATCACTACCAATAGTTTTTTGGGTGTTCTGTTTTCTCCCAGAGTCTTCCATTCATCTGCCAGTTCCTGATGTTTTATTTTGGGGTAGTGATCAAGACCTTGGCCCCCAAAGTCAAACAGCCCTGAGTTCAAATCCTGACATTGTCTGTAACTAACCATGTGTCCCTCAATTCTTTATCCATGAAAGAGGGGTAGAAACAAAACCTGCCTTGTAGGCATGTGATGATTGAATGTGATGGCCTGTGTGGAGTGCAACAGTCATGGGCCAGATTGAGAGCACAGACATGATCACTTTGACCATTAGACCCAGTGCTACTCTTAGTTGTTGCTAAAATTAAAGGTTTCCTCTGGCAAAGAACCTCAGGCCAGGAGAAATAATGGAAAGAGGACATCATTTGGAAGGCCAGTGAAAGGAGTCCATTTGTAAATGAAATGAAATCTGGTGTCATATGTGGTTCTTTGACAGCTAGCCCAAGTAGCTCTAAAAGTCCACTATTTCCAGGTTTCCATATCCTTGTGATAGCTACCCCTGGAACACTTAGGGGATCAGCTATCCTATTATGCTGGGCCCAGCTCCCAGGGGCCACTGCTGGCACACCCTCTTCTCCATGCAGCCTCCCGTTCCAGAGAGACCCACTCACCAAATGGTGCGATGATGGGGCAGGTGATGCTGTAGGCCATGATGACAGTGAAGACACACAGCATCCATGCGTACATGGCGCCAAACTCATACTCGAAGGCCTGGTTCTGGGAGGAGGTGGTGGAAGGAGCTCACAGGCTTGTCCCACCCCAAGCACTACTCATTGCACTCCAGGTGGCAAAGAGATAGCAGGGTGGATGAGGGTTTGGAAAACTGGAGACCCACAGCCGTCCCCACCTCTTCTGGTCCTTTCTATTCCTCCACAAAGCCTTCACCAGCTTCACTCAAAATTGCACAAGGTATGGCAATTGCATGTTCTCTTACTATTTCTCTTCTTGTAATCATGTATGCCCAAAAGGACTATGATCCTTGAGGGGGACTGACTATTGAGGACAGAATGTAGAATGATTCTGTATAGACTCTGGTGTCAGACCCAATGATAGCATTGCTACTTCCAGCTGTGTGTCCTGGGCAAAATGCTGAACCTCTCTGTGGCTTAGTTTGTTCATCTGTGAAGTAGGGATACTGGTCATACACATCTCATACAGGTTATTTAAGGATTAAATAATAGAATGGAACTTTCCTATTCCAGTACTCACAATAGCAAAGAATAATAAAAGAGAATTCCCTCCCATCCAATGTAGGATATTTTGGAACAAATGTCACAAGCCCAAAATGCCTTTGACATCTGTGATAATCCCAAGAATTTATGCAAATTGGTACCCATGGAAAAGAATTTATTGATTTTAGTTGTATGCATGTGTGTGACCAGCATATGAGTTACAGTCATGCCTTGAAGAAGAGCCATGTCACGTGGTGGTTCTTCATGCCTCCAGCTTCCTACCCCTGCCCAAGAAGCATGCAGCACAGTGCTGGCACTGACTAGGTGACCCAATAGGTATTGAGTGCTTTGGGGGAGTAAGTCATCCGATGCAGCTCTGCACCCAGTAGTGGTCCCTGCCCACCCTGCTGCAACCTGGCACCTGCTTGACGTTCCTTCGGTCAGCAGCCGTCTTGGCCATGATCATGCGGAAAGTGTAGAGGATGAGGCCTGGCAGTCGCAGCAGCTCCATGCCATTGCCAATGAAAGCTGAGGCGATAACGTAGTTCACAAAGAAGGCACCCTGATCAGGCAGGAAGACACACCTGGGGAAAACCAGGGGCCTGTGAGCCTAGACAAAGCCAGGAATCCTGGGATGTTCTCACCAGCAATAGCCTCCTCCTTCCTTCCAGAGGGAAAATGAGGGCCCCTTACTGGCAGGAATAGGGAAGCCCTGGCATGGCTTTATACTCATTCCTTCAGGTAGCGAGTGTGTGTAGGCACATCTGTACCAGGCACTATCCTAGGCACTGAGCATGAAACAAAGTGCCTGGCCCTGCAACTTTTCTATCAGACTACCCACAATGGCAAAGGAGACAAACGGGAAAACATATTACGCTGAGTGAGGATGAGTGCCCTAGAGAAAGATAAAGTAGGGTTGGGGGAGGAGTGTGCGTGTGGGCAGCATTTACTATTTTATTCAGGGCAGTCAGAGAAGCCTTCTGCATAGAGGAAGGAGCTGAAGGAGCCCAAGGAACCAGTCAACTAGGAATCTGGGAGAAGCACACTGTAAAGCAAAGGGAGCAACAGAGTTAGGGCTCTGAGGGGATGTGCTGAACAGACCCATGGGACATAAAGGGGCTGGTGCAGCCACAGAGGAGTAGGCCAGAGAGAGAGGTAGGACTGTGATGGGTTGAACTATGTCCCTCCAAAAGAGATGTTCAAGTTCTAACCCCCAGCACCAGTGACTGTGACCTTGTTTGGAAATGGAACCATTGGAGATATTACCAGTTAAATTAAAAGGAAGTCATACTGGAGTAGGGTGGGGCCTAATCCAATATGAGTGGCGTCCTTATGAAAAGAGATAAGCACAGAGAGAGAGAGACACGTGGACAAGGCAACCACATGAAGATGGAGGTGGAGGCTGGACTGATGCATTGACAAGCCAAGGAATACCAAGGATTGCTGGCAACCACCCAAAGCCAGAAAGAGCCAAGGAAAAGTCTTTCCCTAGAGCCTTCAAAGAGAGTATGGCTTTCCTGACACATTGATTTTGGACTGCTGGTTTCCAGAACTGTGAGACAATGAATTTCTGTTGTTTTAAGCCACCTTGTTTGTGGTACTTTATTACAGCACCCCTAGAACACTAATGTGGCTGAAAGGTGCATAGGCCTGGCTTATAGTGGGTCTGGTGAGGTGGGACTGTGGGAAAGCTCTGAACAGAAGCAGCTCTGACTGTGGTGAGGGTGGTATTAGGAGAGTGGGAGCAGGAGACCATGCAGACAGCTACTGTTGCCATCCATGTATGGGCTGAGGGCAGTTGTGGTGGATGTGAGATAAATGGTCAGATTCTGGGTACCTCTTAGAGCCATCAGGATATGCTCATGGACTGAGTACAGTGTATAAAGGAAAGAGAGAAGAAAAGAATAACTCCAAGGTTTTCTGTTTGTTTGTTTCTTTTTTTTTTTTTTTTTTTGCCAGAGTAACATAAAGAACAGGAGCTCTGGTAGCATAGTGCCTAAGGCATTTGACTGCTAACTAGAAGGCTGGCAGTTCAAACCTACCAGCCACTCCTCAGAAGGAAGATTGGGCAGTCTACTTCCATAGTGATACCACCTCGGAAACCCAAGGAGGGGTCGCTATGAGTTGGGTCCACCTCGACGGCACATAACAACAACAACAACATAAAGAACTTGGGTATAGGCTAGGGGAAGTTGTGGGAGCAGCAGATTTGGTGATAAAAATCAAGAGTTTGGTTTGGGGCCAGTTAAGTCTGAGATACCTATTAGAACTCCAGATAAGAGCTGTACAGCAGGCAGTTGGAGATAGGAATCTAGAGACAAAGGCTGGAGTTATAAATGTGGAAATTGTCAGAGTATATTAAATTAGAAGTAGTCAGATGGTATTAAACCTATGAGGTTAGCTAAGGTCACCTAGAGAGGGAGGTGGAGGGAAGGCTTGGGGCTAGGCCCTCTGCAGCAAGAATTCATAGCTTGGGAAGATGAGAAAGGAATTGCCAAGGAGGCTGAGAAGGAGAAGCAGTCATGACTGAAGTCATGTGGAGACAGCATTTAAGGAAGGAAGGTGCGGTTCAATGTGTCAGATATTGCCTACAGATCACATGAGGATTGAGACTTGACAACTGGATGTGGCCATCTGGAAGTCTTTGTCAACACAGACAAGAGATGATTGGGTATATGTGTGTGTGTGGCTTCCAGCTCCCAAGTCAAAATCTTACCCAGAAAGAACTTGTTTTCAGTAATTCACTCCATCCTCATAGGTAAGTAAACAAAAAAGTACACAGATGTCATATTGCACTGGGAAAGCATCTGCAAAAGACCTCTTTAAAGTGTTAAGAAGCAAAGATGTCACTTTGAGGACTAAGGTGTGCCTAACCCAAGCCATGGTATTTTCAACAGCCTCATATGCATGTGAAAGCTGGACAATGAATAAGGAAGATCAAAGAAAAGTTGATGCCTTTGAATTATGGGATTGGCAAAGAATACTGAAAATATCGTGGACTGCCAGAACAATGAACAAATCTGTTCTGGAAGAAGTGCAGCTGGAATGCTCTTTGGAAGTGAGAATGGCCTGACTTTGCCTCACCTACTTTGGTCATATGGTCAGAAGGCACCATTCCCTAGAGAAGGATATCATGCTTGGGGAAAGTGGAAGGTCAGCAAAAAAGGGAAGGCCTTCAGCAAGATGGATTGACACAGTGGCTGCAACAATGAACTCAGGTACAGAAAGGATCGTGAGGATGGCACATGACCGGGCAGTGTTTCATTCTGTTGTACACAGTGTCACTATGCGTTGGAGTCGACTTATGGCACCTAACAACATTACAGGTCAGTATGGCTCACAATCAGCCTTCCCTATAAATAGTCCTTTGGAAGAATCAATCCTGAGCCTTGGAACCTACATTAGGACTCCAATATAGTGCAATAGGGGCTGGGTTGAATCAATCCCAGCACTGGCTCTTCACTAACTGGGCAAGTTATTTGACATATCTGAGCCTCAGTCTCCTCCTCTGTAAAATGGAAATAATAATAGTATCTACCTCATAGCTTACTGTAAAGGTTAAATGAGAAAAAAGACATTTAAAGCACTTACCATGTGCCTTCTTAAATAGCAGTCATTACTATTAAGTGGGTTGGTTAAAAAAAAATGTAAACCAAATCCACTGTCATCAATTCTGACTCACAGCAACGCTATAGGACAGAGTAGAACTCTGCTCCCAAGGGTTTCCAAGGCGGTAATCTTTACAGGTGAAGTTGGTAAGGACTGAAGTTGTCAAATTCTTGAAGTCCTCAAGGATTTCATTTTACTTGGATCCACAATCAATCACCATAGAAGCACCAGTCAAGAAATCAAAGGATAAATTGCACTGGGCAAATCTGCTGCGAAAGACCTCGTTAAAGTTGTTAAAAATCAAAGATGTCACCTTGAGGACGAAGGTGCACCTGACCCAAGCCATGGTATTTTCAATTGCCTCATATGCATGAAAAAGCTGGACAATGAATAAGGAAATCCAGAGAAGAACTGATGTATCTGAATTATGGTGTTAGTGAAGAATATTGAATATATTATTAACTGCCAGAGAACAAACAAATCTGTCTTGTAAGATGTACAGCCAGAATGCAACTTAGAAGGGAGGAAGGCAAGACGTTGTCTCATGTACTATGGACATGTTATCAGAAGGGACCAGTCCCTGGAGAAGGACGCCATGCTTGGTAGAGTGGAGGATCAGCAAAAAAGAAGACCCCAACAAGATGGATTGACACAGTGGCTGCAACAATGGGCTCAAACACAGCAACATCTGTGAGGATGGCACAGGACCAGGCAGCTTTTTGTTCTGTTGTACACGGGGATGCTATGAGTCGGACTGGACACAATGGCACCTAACAATATAACAAATCTTTATGGAAGCAGACTGCCGAATTTTTCTCCCATGGAGCTGCTGATGGGTTCAAACACCAACCTTTTGTTTAGCAGCCCAGCACTTAACCACTGCACAACCAGGGCTCCTTTTAGTGGGTGTGGTATAAAGTTAAAATACTACCAGGGACCCACATCAGCAATATGTTTAACTCCATTCTCCTGGCAAAAATACTGCCCAGACCAGACAATCATTCTGTTCTCAATGTTTAATTATTACTTTCCTTCTCTCTTCCCCGGCACTACTGAGGCCCAGCAGTTCCTTCTCCCCAAGCAGCTCTGTTCTCGGTAAGTAAGTTTCAAGGAATGAATGAGACTGCCACTAATTAAATTTCAACCTAAAAAATTAACCACATTTCTGTGAGTGTAGCACAAAGTGGGACAGCTCCCATGGTGCAGTTCATGGGTTCTTCTGGGCCCCAGCCCAGCCAGAACTGGTAGGGGTGGTGGTGACACCCCAAGCCCTGCTGTCTGTGGGAGGAGGATTCTGGTTCTGAGGCACAGAGATTCCCCCACCCCCTGCAGCCCCAGCCCCTGTGGAATATTTACCTAAGGTGATAGCTACAGAACTCAATGTGACAGATACTTACTCCAACCTAATAGAGGCCTCCGAGGAAGTTTTGTCAAAGAGCCACCGGAAGAAAAAATCTAGACTGAAAGACAAATGAATCCGTAAGAGTTCATTTTCAACCTTCCATACGATCACTACACATGGCTCTGTTTTTGTTTACTTTCTTTTCCATTTTTTTCTGCTCTACAAATAGGCCAAATCGCAAGATCTGCACTTGTTTTCTAAGAGGATGCCACTTACTACAGTGTGACATATAGGGGCCTGCTTTGACTAAACTTCCTGTCTTGAGATAAACAAGTCCCTGATTACCAAAACTCAAACCAAACTCATTGCTGTTAAGTTGACTCTGATTTGAGTACAACTGCCCTGTAGGGTTTCTAAGGCTCTAATCTTTATGAAAGCAGACTGCTACATCTTTCTGCCATGGAGAGACTGGTGGGTTCCAACTGGTGATCTTTTGGTTAGCAGCCAAGTGCTTAACCACTGTACCACCAGGGCTTCCAAAGGCCTCCTGAAAAGGAAGGTCCTCAATCAATTTTATTTTCAAGCTTTTATTTTTTTATTTTTCCAAAGTAAAAGAGATCATATTTCCAGAAGAATCAAATGATTAGCACAATGCGCAATTGCATTCAAAGTGAGTGTGCCAGGCTGAAATGCTGTGGAGGGATGCTGGGCTCCAAAAGCATTCCTATTCTCCTGGGACAAAGCTCTCTAGATGTGGCCCTGACTCCAAATTCAGAGTCGGAGGTGATAATGTGTACCTGGTGAGGCCAAGGGAAGGCAGGATCAGCACCATGAAGATCAAGAAGATGTAGACCTTGGTCATCATGATCCGGTTTTCCCCTGACCTGCAGAGAGCCAGAGGTGAGCATTCATGGCAAGGCCCCAGCTGTACTCCCAGTACCGTCAGAGACCTCCTTCTCGGGGGGGGGGGGGCAGAGGTGCTCCCCACACTCACTTGGTCCAGTGAGACTCCAGCAGCGTGGAGTAGTAGACGATAGATGGGAGCAGGGCCGAGAAGGACCACAGGAGGAGGGTTGGGAAGAACTGGCTGATGATTGGGTCCTAGAAAAGTAAGGTCCACAGCAGAGAGAGTCAGGGTGGCCTGTGGACTCTGAGACCATGATCTGTTGAGCCGCTGGGGGAGGGGCTCAGCTTCTGATCATCCTTGATCTCCAGAACCAGCACTGTGCCTGGCACAGGGTAGGTATTCCATAAATACTCGCTAAATGACCAATATAAGCACCTTATGTTTATACCCACCACCTACCAGTTTTTATACTATGACGGTTGCATGTTGCAATGAAGCTGGAAGCTACGCCACTAGTATTTCAAATACCAGCAGGGTCAACCTGGACAAGTTTTAGGGGCACTTCCAGACTCAGATATACTAGGAAAAAAGGCCTGCAGATCTACTTCCAAAAATTAGCCAATAACAACATGAAAAATGTCATCAGTGTACAAAATAATTAATGATCCTGTCACCCCAATCAATGGAGCTCTTTTTATTCTTTCCTGTTCCCTCCCCAAAGCTCCACTGTATACTCATGTCACTATTGCTATTAGATACCATTGAATCAAATTTTGATGGGTAGTAACCCCACAGCGCAGAGTAGAACTGCCCCAGAGCATTTCCCTAGGTTTGTTTTTGATAGTATAGTGTTTAAGGCATTTGGCTGCTAACCAAAAGGTTGGTGGTTCAAACTCACCAGCCACTCTGCAGAAGAGAGATGAGGCAATCTGCTTCCGTAAAGATTTACAGCTTTGGAAATGCAGGAGGGGGGTGTCACTGTAAGTCAGAATTGACTCAATGGCAGTGAGTTTAGCTTTTGGTTTCGTTGAAGATTTAGACTGATTCCATTAAAAACAACTTTTTTTGGGGTGGTGGTGGTGGTAATATTATAAAGTCATTGCAATTAATGTAGCCATGGCTGTTTAGGGCTTGAATGCATAGGCATGTGCTGAGCAACATGGCCTCCTGGTTTGGTGCTCCTCCCACCCACCTCCCCTTCTCATTCCCCCCACATCTTGGTCCCCATTCCTTCTCTATTCCACTATGCCCTCTTTTCACTAGCCCTCCTGGGATGGGCCCTGCAGAGCCCTGGGTAACTCACATTCAGCGCATGGATGGGTTTGGTGACGTTGAATTTGTCTATGGTAGACAGGATGATGGAGGGTGTGGTCAGGAAAAACAGCCCCACGAAGAGTGTGAAGTTGATGCCCAGCCACTGGAGCCACCAGCGGAGGCCTTGGATAGAGAGGTTCTTCCTACAGAGGAGAAGACACAGGCCCCAGAGGCTTATCTTCCCAGGCTTGGGCGCCCTATGATGCCAACAGTGCCCATCGCTTAGGTAGACCTGAGGCCAAATTTAGGCAAGCCAAGAGACTAGCTCTTGCGAGGGATCACTGGGCTTGGGAGTAAAGGATAACCTCTGTGCACTGACATTTAGCTACAGGAAGGGAAATCTTGGGCCTCTGTGAGCTCAGAAAGAAAACAGATTATTCATTGCTAACGTGGCTCTCTGGCTGGGCCTAGGGGTCAGAACCTACCCAATGAGACGCCAAGAGTATCATAAGCAGGGCAAACAAGACACTGACATAGCATTTCTGAGGCAGATCAGACTTTGAGTAATGACACATTCTTCCCAATGGGGCCATGGGTGGAGAGGGAGAAGAGAAATGAGGACAAAGGGCCAAAAGCCCAGCTGGAATCTACCCTGGCCACTCACCCCCACCAGGAACAGACAGACAAACCAATGCCAAGTTCAGAAAGCCCTATGAGTCAAAGAGCAACTGTCAGAGGCTGAGCTAAAACAGAGTGGAGACAAGCATCTAAAGCTCATTCTGTGCAAGAAACAGAAGAATTCTGCTGGGGCTGCCCTCATCCTGGGCACTGTGCATACAGCTCACCTATGTTCCCCGTGAGTGTGGCTCAGCTCACCAAGGTCTCCCCAGGCTAGAGAAATGGCTGACACTTGACCTAAGGATGTACCATGCAATATGGTAGCCACAGGCCAGACCTGGCTATGGAGCATGTGAGATGTGACTAGTTTGAACTTAAATGTATTATAAGTGTAAAATACACACCTAATTTTGAAGACAAGATGTGAAAAACAGGATGGAAAATATCTCAATGTTTCTATATTTATTAATGTTGAAATAATAATTTTTTGGATATACTGGAATAAATAAAATATGTTATTAAAAATAATTTCAACTGTTTCTCTTTTTTTTACTTTTTTAATGTGACTACTAGAAAATGTATAATTACACATGGAGCTTGTACAACATGGAATGCTACAGAGTAAAACTGGAGTAAAGAGCTGGGTGTGGACACCCCGAGTCAGGCCATAGCAAGTACATCACAGCACCCCCAGCCCAAAAAGTGGCAGGGTGAGTATGAAGATCTCCACTCAGGAACTGTCACTGAGTGTTATGTCAGACCTGTGCTTCCTACAACCACCCCTACACTCTGCCCAAGACATATAGGCTTCTCTTTCCCACCCACCCCCTACCACACGCTCCCAGGCCTGGGAGCTCACCAGCAGATATCCTCAGGGTAAGTGGCAAAGGTCACAGTCCATTTGGAGATGCAGAGCTCTCTGCTGTGGGAAGAGGGCTGGGGTTCCCCTTTGCACCGGAGGCCTTGACACTTGCAGGCGTTGAAGTCTTTAAGGATGCTGCCAGGAGATGCAGACGGTCAGGGCCCAACCCACCTGGGTACTACATACATACATAATAGATGGGGACTGAGGAAGACTGCTATAGGATGGTCTAGGAGCTTTGTGGCACAGGAGCTTTGCTTTATTATTATTATAATTAGTGCTATGAAGCAGGCACCATTCTTGACACACTAAGTGAATGATTTTCATTAGTATTACTTTTTAAATTTTATTGTGATTTGGGTGAAAGTTTATAGAGCAAATTCATCTTTCATACAGCACCTCACATACACTTTGTCTCATGACATTGACTGCAATTTCCCACAATGCAACAGCTTCCCTCCCATTTCCTCCCCATAGCCACCTCTTCCCTGTGTCCTTCCCTTCCATGCACTCCTGCCCCTCAAGCTGCCTCTCTGTGCATACACAGCCCTTCTATACTCTCATGATTGATTTCTCCAAGGAGTGTATGTACCTAATGTAAATATTCAGCTCATATGCCTTTTATTTGGCTGGAAGCCACAGGAGTGGGTTCAATTCCAGACCTGAAGGGGAGCTAGGGGCCATAGTCTCAGGGTTACCACCATGCTCTATCAGACCAGCAAAACTGATCCTTTTTTTGTTTGTTTGTTTATGTAGATGATTTTGTTTAATCCTCAAAACAATCCTAAAAACATCTCCAACAATTAGAAAAAGAACAGCAAGAAAAGCCTACAGTCAGCAGAAGAAAGGAAATAATCAAGATTTGAGCAGAAATCAATGAAACAGAAAATAGAAGGGCAATAGGAAAAATCAACAAGACCAGAAGTTGGTTTTTTGAAAACATCATTAAAATTGACAAACCACTGGAAAATTTAACAAAGGACAAGAGAGAGAGGAAACAAATAACATGAATAAGAAATGAAATGGGTGACATCACAACAGAACCAACTGAAATAAAAAGGATAATATCAAGATACTATGAAGAACTCTACTCCAACAAATTTGAAAATCTGGAAGAAGTGGGCATTTCTAGAAACACACCACTTACCTAAACTAACACAGACTGATGTGGAAAAGTTGAATAGGTCCATCACAAAAGAAGAAATTGAACAGGTCATCAAAAAATTACCACTAAAAAAAGTCCTGGCCCAGACAGTTTCACAGGAGAATTCTGCCAAACATTCAGAGAAGAACTGATACCAATCCTACTCAAACTATTCCAAAACATAGAAAAGGATGGAATCTTCCCTAACTCATTTCATGAAGCAAGCATAACCTTGATACCAAAACTAGACAAAGACATCACTCAAAAGGAAAACTACAGACCAATATCCCTCATGAATATAGCAAAAATCTTCAACAAAATCCTAGCCAATAGACTCCAACAACATATCAAGAAAATCATTCACTATGACCAAGTGAAGTTCGTATCAGGTATGCAGGGATGGTTCATCATTAGAAAAACAATCAACGTCATCTACCAGGTAAATAAAACAAAAAAGAACATGATCATATCCATTGATGCAGAAAAGGCATGTGATAAAATCCAACACCCATTCCTGATCAAAATTCTGAGCAAAATAGGAATAGAAGGGACATTCCTCAACATAATAAAGGGCCTCTATGCAAAACCAACAGCCAACATTATTCTCATTGGAGAAAGACTGAAACCATTCCTCTTGAGAACAGGAACCAGACAAGGATGCCTGCTATCACCACTTCTATTATTCAACATTGTATTGGAAGTCCTAGCCAGGGCCATAAGGCAAGAAAGGGAAATCAAAGGCATCCAAATTGGGAAGGAAGAAGTCAAACTATCC